TTAAGGTTTAATTCAAGATGGGCTTTAAGCCCTAACTCTTACCTTTCTAAATGGGCTCCAATGGCTCATTAATATATTAGGTGAGAGACTAAGTCTTCTTTCATTTTCTAAATCACCTCTCATAGGATTAGTTAGAAAAGGCCTAAATAATCCAACACGTAAATCGGGGTAGAAAGGTAATGAATTTCTTTAATCTAGAAATAGAAGGTAACCTCATTATGAGAGCACTCTAGGATGATTATAGTCTTCTCTAATTGCATAATCAACCCTCTTACTTAGAACTCTTAAGACTAGTGCTAGGTTTTTCATAGTTTTCACCTTTTGAAAACTAAGTGGCGAACCCACACTTATATATTTTCATTTTTGTGATCACCGAGGCCACCGCATGACATATATCATTGAAGAAAATTAGGCGATATTTGATAAAACTAAAAAATTAAGTGCTGAATACGTTAAGTACTCGAATTTTAAGTGTTGAATAATTAAGTATCGCATATGTTATTGACAAACTATTTGGTATTTACTGAAATTAAGTGCTGAATATAATAATGTTGTTTGATAAATACTATTGCTCGAGCATATTAAGATTATATACATGACAATTTTAACCTTTCAATTGTAATATGATATTTTTTAATATAAATAAAAATATATACATAGATGTATTTGTACTTAAAATTTCTCGAAATTAAGAATTTGATTAATTTAGGGACATAATTTTTTATTTGTTAGGTGCAATAAAAAAATAAAAGTTCATTTCTTTATATTTTTATCTCACCGTAAACTATCCTTGCGGATACATTTTTGTCCTAGAATTCTTTTCTAATGTCTAGATGGCAATGTAGTCGAGGGTTTTTTTATCCTCGGGACGAAAAAATTGGCAATCGAAGAAAAATTCCTAGCCAATTGTATCCTTCGGGAAATAAGAGGATAGTACTTCAAATCTTATCAATTCAAGTTTAGACTCATCCAATGAAAGGTAAATAAAACGAGCGGATTGCTCTCTAATAGTACGAGCACAACCTCAAAGTAAATGATTAGTATGTATGATTTGGACTACCATGCTAATTTTTCACATCATTAGTTACAAAGTCACAAGAAAACCTACCAATTTTGCAAAATCAAACAGGGTAGAGAAGCCATGTTCTTTTTCATTTTGCACGGTTGTTTGGCATCCTTTTATCCGCACCCATCCAAAAGGATGCCTTAAATTACATGATCAGTATGTATGATTTGGACTACCATGCAAAGTTTTCACATCATTAATTACAAAGTCACAAGAAAACTTGCTAATTTTGTAAAATCAAGCAAGGTGGAGAAGCCATGTTCTTTTTCATTTTGCACTCGTTATTTAGCATCCTTTTATCCGCACCCATCCAATTTCTCTATACTATAACATATAATCGTGTACACAAGGGAGCTTGAAATTATAGATTCTCATTGCCGAGCAATGAGTTTCTAGTGAATTTGGATGATGATGGGAAGATATAAAGTGGATGCATAAAATCGATTAGGAAGCTACAGTATTAGAAGGTCTTTTTTTTTTTTTTTTTGACAATGTTGACTTCTTCGTAAATTGCTTCAAGAACTTAATAAGCTCATAAGTCCATGTGTCTCTACCGGAATAGAGGTAGAGATCGAGTGGCGTTAAGCCATCTTGAGACAAGATCCTTTTTTTAGTGAACCCCATAAAAATTCGGTGGCTTCACAAATCACGGACCATTTGAAACACATTATTCCGGAAGGATGCCTTCCTAACAAGGACAAAATGAATTGGTGGCCTCAAAATTAACAAGGACAACACGACATTGAGAATATCATTAAAAACTAGTATAAAATTCAAGAAGGTTTATTAACATCACTTTACAACATAACAAAATCCACATTTATAATAGAGATGTATACTTGGTTTTCTTCTAATTAGTAGTTGGTTGATGATGATGAGATGGAAGCACCGATAACGGAAAAGGTCTCCTCTGTTTTGACAATGAGATAGTAGAGATTATTTCTCAATCAATTTGTATAGGTAAGGTTATAAGAATATATGAGGGCTATATAGTTATATTTAAAAAAATTTTCAATCGAGTGTGTTAATTAAAATATTTTAACTTAAAAACTTTAACTTATCTAATTAAATAGTTTTTGACTGAATTTAAATTTGAAGTAAGAGATTATTTAAATTATTAAACAAATTTTTTATTTAAGGACTATAACTTAATTTCTTAAGCTATAAAACGCACCCCGAATGTAGTGTAGTTTCAAGTTTTTCTTTAGAGAACAATACCTTTTTTTTCTTACTTTAAATTAGTCAAATATTCAAAATGTCGTACTTTTTAATAGAAATTTATTTATTATCTATTTAATGTCAGCTAAAAGTAATTTATCAAAATATTTTATTTTATTCCTTGTAATGCTCAAAAAATTGATTTTAGTCCTTAATTTTTGTTTACAATTTGGTCGTTTATTTATAAATTTTGATCCTTAAGGTTTTCATAAAAAATATTATGGTCCTTATTTTCTAAAGTTTGCGCAATTAGATTTCTACATTTGTTTTCAATTGGAGTCTCACGTATGACATGTGTTAGGCATTCAAAAGTGAACACACTATGTAACCTTACAAATAACGATGCCATAATGGAGGGTCTCAAGCGACACAAAATGAAGAGTAAAAAGTCTAAATCAGCATAAAAAAAGAATATAAGGTGTTAATCAAAATAATTTGAAGAGTAAAGGATCCGAATATGGGCAAAATCTGTTAATTAACTTAATAATTTTTCCTTTGATTTACCAACTTAAATAGATTTTCTCCTTAAATTAACATTGGTTTCATATAATGTATGATTAAATATGATAAATAACAATGTTAACAAAATAGTATTTTAAAAATATATGAATAAAAACTATTGATATAGAATAATAACTAATAGCTTTCTTAAACCGTTTGAAAAGTCAAAGGAAACGAGGTTTTTTTTTTTTTTGAACAAATAGATTATAATTTAGTATATATATATATATATATATATATATATATATATATATATATATATATATATATATATATATATATATATCATATGATTTTATATGCTAGTGCTTTTCGTTTTGAAAAATTATCGAGCAATCACTTAATTTGAGTTGATTGTTAATTCCTTTTCAAATTCAAATTTTTTAAATGCTTTCTTTTTTTATTTCTGCTTGTGAGAATGAAAATTTTAACTAAAAATGAAGGATATTTTGTGAAGCAAATAATTAAATTGTCATTAAAAAAATAATGAAATGACTAAGTTACAAAAAATATAAAATATAAGGATTCAAAATTAATGTTTTAAAACAAAGCAATTAAAAGTATATAAAAAAAAATTGTGATGATTTTAAAATTTAATTAGTTGCTTAACTTGTTAAAAGTAGTGAAAGGTGATTTTTATAAAAGTAGGTTTAAAAAGTATATTAGTTTTTGCTTTAAATACTAGAGAAGTGATGCTTTTGTGATGCAAGGTTGTTTATTTTATTTAAAAAATAAAAATAACCTTAAATCATAAAATACCAATGTTGCATATATTTTGTTAATATATAGTTTTGATACTAGTGATTGGAAAAAAAAAATATTATATGGAGTTTTGATTCTTTTTCTCCTTTTACTTTCATTACTCGTGGCTTTTGATTTTAACTATAAAAATAATCTTCATGTTTTCAAGTAATTTATTTTAATTTTTTTAATAAAAATTTTGAAGTTATGTCCTTGATTGTAATTTTAGTTCAAACAATATAACAATGCATTACAAAACAATTGAATAATTTAATGAATTTACTTATATAGCATATCACATCATTTTATTACTAAATAATTTAATATGTTTAATTACACAACATAGTGCATAAAAAAACAACACTCACAACACAATACAACACAATATGGGCCAAACATTCGCTAAATTATAGTTTGCTCACAAACTGAAAAAAATAAAAATAAAAAAATAAGATAAGCTTTGCGCGGTTATTTATTTATTTGAGAGGGGTGGGAGCAAAGCCTATGGTTTTTATTGATGACCAACCTAATCAAAGAGGCAAAAATTTCGAAGAGAGTCGTTCATATATGGAAAGTTGGAAGCCGTGTGTACCTATATTTGATTTTTATTTTTTTGATTCATTTCCCCATGTTGGATTCGAGAAAAAAATGAGAGGAGTAAACAGTTTTTGTTAAGGCCTAATTGTTTTATTAATAGTGTTTGATGGCGACATACATAACCAACTCCGTCTAGTGTACGGAAGTGTACATGTTGACATTGCATTATCCTCCTGTCTGATGGACAATGCAGATTATATTTGATTCAAGTTTGCTGCATGTTCCCTTATAATTGATGAATGTTTAATCCGTAGTCCTTCTATCTCAAAAAAAAAATAATAATAAATAAAAATAAAAAATTGTTTTTCTATTCTTATCGTTATAGAATTGATAAAGTTTTTTCTACAGAACTAAACAATATGGGCCTATGTTGGCTAGGCCTGATGATGCCAAGAGGCTGGATCTGGTCTTGAGCAGGGCTCTAAAAAGCGTAACCATATGAAAAAAAAATCTCTCGGAAGAGTATAGTAAACTGTTTAGAGCAACTATTTAGTAAAATTGATTTCTCCAGTTATATATATATATATATATATATACACTACGTAAAATATAGTTTCAATGACATGATTTTTTTTAGGAAAATTAATGATACAAATTACAACATAACAAGTAATAAAGTTAATATAAACATGAAACATGACCTCGAGACTTGAATTTCTATTTTATAACATGCCGTTTTAAACCTTATCAAGTCACGAACTTGTCACCTAGTGAAGGTATAGCATACGTCCATCAAAGACAAATGGTGTCTAGAAAAGAAGGAAAAAGACTCGACAATATATGGAAGCTGAACATTCCGTAGCCAAATTACGAATTATTAATTAAAACTTGCACAAGCACAAAGACACAAACACACACCTTCAGCACCGGAGCATTATCACCACCTATCATGACTTCCATGAATTTTCATGTGCAATTGTTGTTGAGCATAGTTCACTAGCTTCTCAATTTCTTTGGCACCTTCTATTTGGCCATTGTGATTCGTATCAGCTACCTTCATTACTTGCCGAGCTTTCCACCAAGGAAACCAAACCCTCAAGCTTTGAAGAGCCTCTTTTAGCTCATCATGGCTAACACGTCCATCGTGGTCCGTTTCAAACTGAAGAAGCCGGGCTTTGAATTCTTCCACCGTCATTTCACGGTTGGGATTCACCTGAAAACAGCACATTATGGCCATATTGACTTTTGTAATATGGAATACTGTTTGCTAAGGCAGTATTGTAGCTACCGGTTCTGCTTGAGGTTAATTACGAGCTCTTAAAAAGAGGTCATGCTAGAGTGTGTTGTAGTGGAGAACCGAATATATTCACGTCCTTTTCATTTCTTTAGGTTACGTCTTTTCTTTCCATTGTACGTAGAACCCATGCTTACAACTTTATTCTAACAAATATTATATGAGTAGTGAAATGCAACCCATCTAATTGGGCAGACCAACGTTAACTCAGACTAGAATATAGTGCCCAGGATGTAAAGGAAGGCTCAAATCGACATATATTATAGTCAAAGGAGGCACCTCGATATGATTATCTTAATGATTTAAAAACACAAGTGTAGTGTCAAACAATTTTTATTTTTTTATTTATTTTTTATTTTTTTATCGAGTTACATATGATAAAGAGTTAATTAAAGATTTTGAGTCGATTTATATTACTGGTTTTTTAGAGAGATACAAAATCTAGCTCTCCTTAATGAATCCTATTTAATTTATAAAGATGTTCTAAATTTTGATCTCAACATTGATGATGAGAAATTCTTCTACATATGCATGTAGAAAAAGCAATGGTCTTTGTCAAATATTTCGTAAACTTACATATGCTTTCCTTAAAACTTAAAAAAATAAAATAAAAATATGATGGCGATATTATTTGACATGGAATCTCATAAAGCAAAATGAGGCATCACACTCGTAGATAAACATAAACAAATGTACATCAAGGAAGTTGCACGCTCATTGGAATGCATTGCCATAAAATAATTAGGTTAAAGGTCTAGGATGTCACTCTACTATCTTATTTGTCTTAATTGTGACCATTTACTAATTTTTTTTAATAATCGTGTCCCTCTATTCTTAATGTTTTGATAAAATAATCAAAGAGTTTGACTTTTTCACAAAAACAAAGATAGACTTTTTGTATACAAAAGGTTAGTGAGAGCCTATTAGTCTTGGTTATTCTATATGAAAACAAACAAACTACTTCTCGGTTATAATATTATCATGTTGCAATCTATAAAATAATATGTATTTAAGAATTTCTCCATATATGACATGGGAGGGAAACCTACATTTTAAGAGTCGAGATCTATGGAGATGGATTACATAGAATATGAGGACTTTCCCAAGCAAGATACATTGATATGATACTAAAAGGTTTAGCATGAAAGAATCAAATAAAGGACTTCCTCTAATGTTACATAGTTTATTGGCCGACTACAAAAGATCTATAGCCAAAGCTAAAAAACCAAGGTCTCATCAATGGTCTAAGCATGTACTATGATGCTACCACATGATTAGAGAGATTATCACTCATAGTGATATAAGGATAGAAAATATCCATATTGATGATAACATAGCTAATCCCTTGACTAAGCCTTTGTCACAACTAAAATATAAGACCTTTACTCGATTCTCGGGAATAAGGGACATGACTAGTTAGCTCTAGTACAAGTGGGAGATTGTTAGTGCGAGTGCCTAAGATCTAACCTTGATTGAATGGTTTGACTTATTGTAATATTGTATTCTTTATTTTATTAATAAAAAGTCTTTCTATTAATTCTTGTTGTTTATATTTATTGATAGAATTAGATAGAAGTCCATTTGATATGCATTGCATTAATGATTGATTGAAAAATGCAAGACAAACATTAATGCACTTAAATGTTATCATTAAATATTTTAAGTCGTAGTATTATTAAGAATGGGCATTGACTATATGCGGTAACACTTGTAAGTGCTATGCTCATGCTATAAGATAACGATAGAAGATCTCACACTTATTGACATGGTGATGCCAAAGTAAGCGGTAGGAGATCTTACACCTATTAGCATGGTGATACCAAAGTAAGCACTTAAGTGATTAATATTAGAGAACATATTACCGGATTTGACTTACTATGAGAACCTATTTGGTTTAGTCTATGAAAATCTCATACGAGAGTGGTACAATTAGTCATTTGACTTGAAGTCATCACGGTTATCTCATTATAGGATGTATATAATTTGACACTTGTTTCAATTGGCTCGGTTAAGATCCGTATGTAGACGATTCGTTGGGTGTACTAGGAATCTACTGGAGATAGGTAGATTACTAAGATAAAACATGTCATTCCTTATATGATAAAAGAGTTATTACATTGGGCCTTGATAAATGTCTCGCTCAAAGAATGCATGGTCACAATAGGAGAAAACTAATAGAGCATAGTTGATTTACTCAGGAGTTAAGATATTTGGGAATTGAAGAAAACTTTTGTGATCGTAATCAAACGTACTATAAACCATGTTCGAGATCACATTGTGATAAATTGACATGAGGATTGAATTGTATGGTAATTATACTTATGAAAGTTAATTACGAATTAATTAATCCTCTTAGAGAATTGGATAGTCATGATTCCTTGCTAGAGGTCAATTTTGATTTATGTATCAAGAGATAAAACATGTGTCTTTTATTCTTGATACATTGCTAACATATCTAGAAGCCTATTGAGTCACACACATAAGTTTAAGTATTCACATAATAAAAGAGAAACAAAGATTTTGGAAAAGGTTTTCAAGTTTTGAAAGTTTCCTATTTTGGAAAAAGTTTTTAAAAATGAAAAATTTCTTATTTTGGAAAAAGTTTATAAAATGGAAAGTTTGCTAATTTATAAATCAGTTTTCCAATTTGGAAGTCGGTTCCAAATTTAAATATAAGTAACCTAAAAAGGAAATTAGTTTTCCGATTTACATTTAAAGGCAATTTGGGAAATTGTTTCCTAATGTGGACCTTTTAAAAATGTCTAACCAATTTATTTGGATAGTCTAAATTATTTGATAATTAATTAGGCCAAAAGAGTTTGGGTCAATATATTTAATTTAAAAGCCTACGAGATATTTTTGTGAGAGGATCCAGCTTTATAAGGATAAGATCAAAAAGCCTACATGTATTGCAACTCTTATTCATTTGTGGATTAGGAAGTAATAACCTAGAGTCTATATTGGACTAATTGCGCTGCTTCCTTGTCTTTGGAGCACAAGGAAGCCACTCTCCTATAAATATAAGAGAGAAGTGAGGCAAAGTGAAACTAAGGTATCATATACACACGACATAAAGAAATAAAGAGAGAACAATTTTCTCCCCCTAAAAAAATCATGCCAACTCTCTCTCTCTCTCTCTCACACTTAGGGTTATCCCAAAAATATCCCAAAAAAAATTCTAAAGAGAAAAATTAAACAAGTTAGTAAAGGGAGGAGCTAGTACTCTACAACTTCGATTGCTTCTTGTTTGGATGTTTAGACTCGTGTAGCTTATTGATAGAGATCGGATACTTAGGTGACTCCTTTTCTATAAAAGCTAAATTTATGCTACAAGAGGTAATTCTTTACTCGTGTTTTAATTCATATATGTATGATTAGTTGATTTAACGACTTGATCTTTGGAGCTCTATATGGAGGAAATTTATTTTTTATTTTGCGAGATCCATATGATGCATGATCCTTCACCATCACCATTTTTTCATATGGATTCGGGGGTTGACTACAATTTCTTTCACGTTCAACAAAATTTTTTGACACAACATAACTCATCGAGTTAATTTTCCCATGGTGTATCCAATCATAATATCCAATCATAAAACAAGCATCTCACTAAAGGGTATTTAATTGTGACTACCTTCTCAAAATTTTGGTTGGTTCCGACACTTACGATGATTGTAAACACACCCTAACTTTCTTCTTTCCATATATTCGGGATGAATAGTAGTAAATGCAAGCAAATTCTTCAACCCCATTAATGAAATCATCATGTAAATACCCATTGATGCACTTAACATACATGCATTTATTATTAGACCTTATTATCTTCTTTCCGCATTTCCAAGGCAACACAAAATTATTTAATTAATAATTTTTTTAAACATCTAACAAAATTTTATCGAGCCTCTCCCGTAAATTACACATTTTCTAATTAAAAGATACTTTAAATGATCACAAAAATTTTAAAATTAAATCAACTACAATCAATTGACGTACACCAAGATCGATAATTATCTCCAATACTCCATCGAAATTAAATCCCAAATTTGTCCTTCCAACTCTATCACAGAGCATTGAACCAATCTTATTTTTTCTCAATTCCCTAGGTCTTTGACCCTTTGAGTTCGATATACTACGATGTATCTCAACACACTTCAATAATTATAAATAAAATAATTAAACTAATTAATTCTAATTTTGACCTAATTAAGTTTAAAATAACAATAAATTAAAAAAATAATATAAATAAAATTATAATTCAACCAATTAAACATAATTAACCAGATTACTTAATTAATTATAAATCTAATTAACTAATTAATTCTAATTCTAACTTTTTTAAGTTTAAAATAACAATAAATTAACAAGTTTTATTATAAATAAAGTTGTAATTCAATCAATTAAACATAATTAACCTAATTAATTAATTAATTAATTATAAATCAAATTAACTTAATTATAATTATTAACAAATTAAATTAAAATAATAATAAATTAAAATTTTTAAATATAAATAAAGTTATAATTCAACCAATTAAACATAATTAACCTAATCAATTAATTTATTAATTATAAATCAAATTAACTTAATTAATTCTAATTATAATGAAATTAAGTTTAAAATAAAAATAAATTAAAATGTTTTAATATAAATAAAGTTATAATTAAACCAATTAAACATAATTGACTAACTAGTTAATTAAATATAAATCAAATTAACTGAATTAATTCTAATTCTAACCAAATTAAATTTAAAATAGCAATAAATTAAAAATTTTTAATATAAATAAAATTAAAATTCAACCAATTATAAATAATTAACCTAATTAATTAACTTAATATAAATAAAATTAACTTAATTAGTTCTAATTTTAACCAAATTAAATTTAAAATAACAATAAATTAACAATTTTTAATATATATATAAGGTTATAAATCAACCAATTAAACAAAATTAACCTAATTAATGAATTAGATATAAATAAAATTAACTTAATTAATTCTAATTCTAACCAAATTAAATTTAAAATAACAATTAATTAACAAGTTCTAATATAAATAAAATTCTAATTCAACCAATTAAAAAAATTAACCTAATTAATTAATTGAATATACATCAAATTACCTTAATTAATTTTAATTCTAACCAAATTAAATTTAAAATAAAAATTAAATTAACTTAATTAATAAAAATTAACAAATTAATTAACAAATTTATTTTAATTCAACCAATTAAACATAATTACCCTATTTATTAAAATAAAATAAATAAATCTAACTTAATTAATTAAAAATGAATTCTAATTAAATTGAAATTTTAATTAATTAATAAATTAACTTAACAATTAACAAAATTTAACAAGTTAACAAATTAATCAACAAATTAACCTAATAATTAATCAAAACTAACAATTCAAAAAATATATCAACAAAATAACAAATAAATACTAACTTTAATTTAGAAAAAAAGGAGAGAAAAAACTTACCTAATTCGGGTGGAATTGCACAAATAGAAGAAAAGAAAAAATAGGGGGGGGGGGTTAGAGAAAAAACCTTGGAGTTGGTGTGGATTGATTGAAAGTGGACGAATGGAGTTTGGTGATGGTTTGGAAGGGGGAGAGATCGACGGTAGCTAGCAAGAGAAGGAGAGGGAGAAGAAAATAAGGGAGGAGGAAGAAGGACGAGGATTTAATTTTAGGATTGAAGAATGGTGATAGATGTGATTTCTTTATTGATTTGTTACTATTTAGCGAAGTATTTAAGTATCTATTGCTAATCTGTTTCAAAATGGGCGGTCAATTTATTACGACTGGCCACCCATTTTTCACATATAGTGACAGAATTAAGTGTCGGTGTTAATTCGACGGTTTTAACTTTCAAAAAGTTCATCAAAATTTTCCCAATTTTTCATCTCTAGCAACGGACTTTCATGTCGCTAAATTGCAAGAGATGTTTCCTTTAGCGATGGAATATCCGTCACTAAATCAAGAGCTTGAAAATAGTGAGGGAATAACATTTCCATTGCTATTTTTCTTAGCAAATTCATTTTTAAATCGTCTCTAAAAATTTGAAGAAGATTTTATCATCAAATTTAGCGATAAATTAGTGTCCGTCGCTAATAAACCATCGTTGTTCCGTCATTTGTTCCAATAGATGCTATTTTGTCGCTATTTGCTTGTTATTTATTTATGGATAAAATTCCGTCGCTATTTGATGATTTTGTTTTTGGTTTTTTTGTTTTTTTTTGTAGTGTGAGAGGTTACTCCGACCTCCTACCGTAATATGATTTTTTTTTTAAATCTCAATACTCCAAAAAAACAATTTGAACGCATGATATCTTGTAAATATATATAAAAAAAAAATTGCCATTACTAGATTAAACATTTATTAGTCTCTTTCGTTTGTTTGTTTGTTTGTTTTTTTTTTTTTTTAAACCAGAAACAATTGTCAATATTATGTCTTTTTTATGGAAGTTAATAGAGGTATAAGCTTTTTTTTTAAACAAATAAATTGGTAAGCCCAAATGAAAAGAATTGAGAAAGAAACAATTATGTGCATGTCTGCAATCAAAGTATGATGATCTTAATTTGATTTTTTTTCTTAACAGATCTAAGCCTAGCATAACTTGAAGGAAATTATAAATTAATCCTTTTATTTTTGAAAAAAATTAATTAATCCTTCTTGTTCTAAAAAGACTGATTATTTTGTGTTTTAATCAGTATGAATCCCATTTAATTTAATATTATTTTATTTTATTAAATGTATTTTTTCATCAATCTTTTCATATTTTATAATTATTTTTTATTTCTTTAAAAAATAAGTTAAAAAAACAAAAAATGATTAAATTACCAAAAAAAAAGAAGAAGAAATAATTAATTTTTATAATAAAAAAACTAATTTTTTATTTTTTCGAAACTAGAGACTAATTTACATTTTACTCATGTAAATTTCTGATCGCGATGATATTTGTAGTCCGTTAATATCGATTCCCTATGAAGCAAAGTGCGTGGCTTTTTTCTTTCTTTACTTTTTCCTTTTGAAGATATCATTAAAGTAATTAATTGGCAATTGATTGGCTGGTAGTCAACAATAAGAAAGATTCTACCAAAAAGAAAGAAAAATGCATCGGAAAAAGATCCACTCATTAATTTCCAGCTCCATCAGGCACCAGCTATGAGTTTATGGTAAACATTTAGTGTTACGAATGATAATTATTTTAATTAACATATATTTATCCATCAATCATTTCAACTCAAAAATTTAAACTTATTATAAAACTATTTTTAAGATTTTACCTAACAACTTAAATTTTTGAGTTGAAATAGTTTTTTATATAACATCAAAGTTTTAATAACTAAACAATCATAAATTCGATTTTTATCACCTTCATTTTTTTTTAATTAAATTAATAGAAAATATTGTGAATTTATTCAAATTTTATGTTTAAAAAAATTTTATTTAAAAAATTGTATTAAAAAGTAACATAAACCATTCCTAGAGACCATGTTTGAGATGGTTCTTTCATAATTTGAATTTCATATTGACAGCTCAAAGGTTAATTACTCTTTAACATTGTGTTTGGATATTTCCTCTTGGGAGGAAAGAAAATAAGAGGAACAAAAAGTAAAAGGAAAGAGAACTAATTTTTACTTGTTATTTGGATAAGAGTAGAAATAAAAGAAACGAAAGTATTTTTTTTTGTTTGGATAATTATAGAAAGAGGGAGGAAAAAAATTATTATATATTTACTATAATACCCTATTATTACGTTTCTATATTTAAATACTTTGAAGGGCAAAAATAACAATACGCTCTATTCTCTATTTTTTTAATTATATTTTGGCTTGATTTACTTCCACTATCTTTAAATTTGTTTATTATTATTATTTTTTTTATTCCATAGGTTTCTTAAAATTTTTTTTCTCTTCCTAGCTTTTCACTCTATCTAAACACGGGGTAAAATTTTAACGGTCTAGCTAATCCTCGACCAAATGCCAAGGTGTAGATAATGTCAATTGGACGGGTTTGAGGTGAATATGATTTCTTCCTTTTTGTATTCTATAAATCGAGTTTGAGAAAAAAGAGGAAAAAATCGGATTCAAAGAATTTCTTTAATAAAGAAGTTTTAATTTTTTGTATTTATAATTAATTCGAAGTTTGAGGTGAATTATGCTTCCTTGGTTTTTGCCATCCCTACCAATGATCTTTGTGTAAAAAGAGAAAGAAAGAAAGAAAGAAAAAACTTTAACCCAACTTTGACTTGCCTTGATTGGGCTACCCTCATTTGGTAAAAGATGGACAGCAATTAATCTTGGAACTTGAAGAAACATCTAGGCGCGGAACTTGAAGCAACATGCGTGATGAAATTATCCTAAAAGCTAAATAAAAATAAAAATTAGAATAATTACAATATAAGTATATGAAGTTTCAATTTTTTCTCAATTAAGTATATAAATTTTAATTCTTGTTCTTTGAGTACATCAATTTTTTCCAAGTTATTCATTAAATACTTTCATAAATTTTTTCGTAATTGATAATGTGTCCATTATCTTCAAAATACAAAATTATAATTTTGTCATTTTTTCTAAATAAAGTACATGAACTTTAATTTGTTCAGATTGGGTATCCAAACTTTTTTAAAATTATCAATAAAGTACTTTCTTCATTTTCTTCATTAATTGATGATATGCTCAAATACCAAATTATATTTTTTCATTTGTTGTTGTAAGAAACTTTCTCTTTAAATTATTATATCTTTTTTTAAAATTTGATAAACAATTAAAAAGTATATTTTTAGTTATAAAATATCAAACTAAACTTAATAAGATTTGCTATTAAAAAAAAAAAATCAATTGGGTTTTGGACATGAAAATTGAATGAAATACAAATGTGAGATTTTTCATCGAGAAGATTCATTTATGTTTTTTTTTCAATTTTTACTTTTAAACCCGATTGAGTTTTTTTTTTTTTCTAACAACAACCTAATTGAGTTTAGTTTGGAATTTTAGAGATAAAAAGATTTTTTTAATTATTTGTCAAATTATAAAATAGTAAAATAATTTGAGGAGAAAGTTTCTTTCAACAAAAAGAGGGTAAAATTATAATTTTATATTCAAATTCATTATTAATTAATAAAAAAAGTGATGAAAATACTTAATTGATAGTTTTAAAATAGTTCATATATTCAAATGAAAAAAAATTAAAATTCATGTACTCAATTAAGAAAAAGAATAAACTTATAATTTGGTATTTTGAGGGTACCAAACACATCATCGATTAGAAAAAAATTGACATAAGTATTTGATTGGTAATTTAAAAAAAATGATGTACTCAAATGAAAAAAAATTAAAATTCATGTACTTAATTAAAAAAAGTTAAAAATTGATATACTCATAGTGTAATTATCCTTTAAAAAAAAATTACATGGTTTTTTGAACTATAAGGTTTCTCATTCTTAGCTCTCAAGGCATCTAACTGGAGTCAACAACTTCAAGAAATGCATCCTCCAGCATATCTGGACAACGCAAAATCTGCACTCCAAGGGTATCCAATGAACATCTCTACTAGACAAACTTACCCTCCATATATCCCCTCCGCCACTGCCACCGCAACACGGTGGTCTACTGGTCTTTGCCATTGTTGCGATGACCCGGCAAATTGTCTCGTTACTTGCATGTGCCCATGTGTTACCTTTGGACAAATTGCTGATATAGTCAATAAGGGTTCAATATGTAAGCTCTCATCCAACACAGACTTGCATATATATATATATAGTGAATTCTTCAAGTTAAAGGTGCTGCTTTTTTAAGCGATGGAATATTTGTTTTGTGGCTTTTTGGTGCAGCTGGTGCAGCAAGTGGTGCAGTTTATGGTCTACTACTGGGTTTTACAGGCTTGTCATGCTTGTACTCGTGCTTCTATCGGCCAAGATTGAGAGGACAATATGACTTGGAAGAGCCACCTTGTAGATTGCTTGGTTCACTTCTTCTGTGAGCCTTGTGCACCTTGTCAAGAATATAGAGAGCTCAAGAATCGTGGTTTTGATATGGGAATTGGCAAGTATGGATTACCTTTTGTACAATAATATTGAAGAATTAATGTACTCATGGTTAGGCTGTGCTTAATTTGAAGGTTGGCAGGCGAACATGGGTAGACAAAGCAGGGGAATTACAGTTGCTCCACCTATTGTAGGTGGGGGCATGAGCAGATGATCTCGCAAGAAACGGCCACCTGTATTGCTACAATCCTCTTCTCCATCCGTCCATCTAATTGTGCCTCTCTATTCCTACGCTATGTCTTGAATTTTAATAAATTGTACTGTGCTTATGTGCTAGCTAGGTGTTTGGATTAATTTAGTTCCACAAAACTGTTTTCCTTTCTTCTTGCAATAATCAACATGAATGCAAAGTGAAAATTAATTTGAGACTCTCATCAGATACTATGAATTCATGGCCAGGAAGGAAAAAGGAGAAGGATCTAAGGTTGAAGTTTGATAGTGAATCCTTAAAAAGGTTGGAAATATCGACAGTTCGTTAGCTCCTGTAGTATTAGTTCATCATAACCAAACCAAACCTAAACAAACTAGCATAGTCATAGTTAAGAAATTTAGCAGTGCCATAACCATAAAAGTGTAGGATACACGTACGATTAGCAATTTTAGAAAACCAGTAACACTGTCACATGCTTTGCACGACTTTGTTATCTCCTCTTATTCCAATAAGTGAAATACTAATACCAACAAGTTTTTGGTCAAGCCGAAAAGCCAGCTTGTCTCTAAACAAATTTTTTGTTAGAATATAGAATTTGAATTTTAAAGTCACATTTATTAAAATGAGTTAAATTTTGTCACTCTTGATTTGAAAATAATTAGTCATATTTTCAATATAAAGTTTTTAAATTACCTTATTTTGGAAAAATACTCTACAAGCATTACTTGCAATTCTTATAGTTTCATTAATACCTAAAACTTGAGAGCTAACAATTATTTTTATTACACAAAGTGCTAGTTAGCCATGAAAAAATCCATCGCTAATAAGGGAAAAGTCATCGCTAAGAGCATTTAGCGACAAACTTATGGTCGAAGAAATTTTTTGGCTAAAACACTTATCACCGACCCTAAGGACAACAAAAAAGTATCCATCGCCAAAGCGTTATATTTCTTCCCAAATTGTTCATAAAAAATGTCATCTTATTCGTTGTCGCTATTTCGTTGCAAATTTCATCACTAATTAAGGATCGATATTCCATCGCTAATAACTAAAGCTAATTTAGTTGTCACCTTTATGTCACCATTTTCGTTGCTAATTTCCAATACTAATCCGTCGCTAATCTATTGCTAAGTTTATTATATATATTTTTTTAAATTGATAATTTTTTTGTTTGTTTTTAAATTTGTGATATTCTTGGTAGTAGTTAATAATTAGAACAAACAACATATTAATAAAATTTAAATATTAAAATTAAAATTTAAATTAATACTAACAAAAAAATATTCGAGTAGTACGTACGAAAAAAAGAAAAAAGAAAAAAAAATGAAATGTCACTCTTGATCGTCATCCTTACCATCTAATCCCTTCACCTCCTTCTAGGGTTCGGTAGGAGGGACGGTGGAGTCCTGGTCGGTGGGTGGACTATAGGCAATTCGGACGTTTATGCTAGCCTATTCAACATCAAAGCAAGCGATTCATACTAAAACTTCAACCCATGTATGGTACTCTATTGCTCGTGTGACATGGTTTTGTAGCTCGTCTTGTTTAGATCGCATCCTATGAATCGCCTCCTTCGTCTCCTCGTATTGCCTTCGAACCTCCTCATGAGAAATGTCATCGGTATAATGCGATGACACGGAGGACAAGCCACTTAACCGGGATAGATAATGCGATGTTTGTGTGCTTACACCATATAACCACTTTTTCTTCTCTCCTACTGACCTCGAGTTATATGCCGCTCTTGTCCACTTATGGCTCTAGGATTCCTTTCGCTTGTCGCTTTACAATAGCTTTCTATATAAGCTCGTCAACATGCTCTTATGTAATCAAAATAATTATAATGTTAAAAGATTTAAAAAAATTTAGAATATATTTACGGATATAAAATTTAAAAATTTAAAACACTTACCATTGTATGTTGGGCGCATAGATCGGTAAGAAAGGCATCTCACTTCTTGTGAGTGGCCCCAAATAGCTCCAAACTCATTAGCTTATATCCCAATTTTTTCGTCCGAAAAAAATTAATCACAAAAAATATAAGATGTAAATTAAAATTTCTTAAAAATTTAATAATATAAGATATGATTTACCAAATAGCGGGTGTGTTCTTTTGAAGAGGTAGACCTCCTTAAGTGCCTAAATGGGCCCGTACTAGGGCCACTAGTTTCTAACATCCATTTTTATGATGTTTGCGTCGAATGAGTCTTATGACCAGGTTCGATAAAATCTTGAAGCCATGAGTCCAAAACCTCATAACTAAAAAAATTAGGCCATTAGGGTAGTGAACTATTGTTGTAGACAAAGTTGGATTAGCGTTTTCTTGCCGAGCCTCCTAAGCTTATCTAGCATGCGCCTCAATGGTCGAATCCTAGTAAAAAAATTTATGCAAGAATAAAAAAGTTAATATTAACTACTTCATTTAATGCCAAATTAATATTTTAAATATTATAAAAAAATTAATCATATGTTATCCTAAATTCACTAAAGTAGAATTGTTTAGTGAGCTCGGAGATGGACTTTCACATCGACCCATCAACACCTAATTGCTCCTTCAAAATCATGGTTATCCTCACATAATAATCTCTAATAGGTGGACTAAAATTGTCGAACATCAAACAAAGGAAGTAAAAGTCAATAATTATTGAAATGATATATTAAAATAAAAAAATAACTATATCGTCTTTACAAAATTACATACTACTCGTGAGCGAAAAAAAAAATGCTATCGACTGGAAGAGCTTTGGGAGCTCTTTGGAGTAACGAGATAACTCGATGGATGATGCATCGATTGTGACCGGTGTTGGAACCTCCGTTATTAGTGTGAGAACCTTTATGGACAAGGGAGCCTCTATGGCCAAAGTTCCGTGGGAGGAAAAAGAACGTCCATGGCTGCAGGAGTCATGAGATCCACATACGAGTGCCTAAAGTGGGAGATCCCCGACCAATGCTGATTGGGGATCCTCGCTGGGCTACCGCCAGATTGGGATGCGAGTCCACGGCTACCAAAAAATGATCCCGTAGTGATTGTGCGGGGTTAGCCCAAACTACGTGTCATAGCTGAATAATATAACCTAAAATAATTAAATAAAATACAACATATATATTATCAATATAAAGCATTAAAAAACCTAAAATTGGACATTACTTATTACCCGATAACCAACTTATTTTAAACTTAACACATTCAAAATACGCAACTAACATTTTGAAGATGTATCAAAGTAGATATTATATACTGCATATAATAATAAAGAAACAAAAAATACATCATTTTTTATTAGTATAATAAATAAAACATATATTTAATTACAACCTTGTAATCACTCTTTAAGTTATCATCTACATAATCCGATGTATTTTCACACTCATTCTCATAATCTTCATCAACCATAATTACTTTTATATCTACAAATGATCTATTAGGATCATTCAACAAAAAAAGTCCTTGACTTCCTCTATTAATTCATGCTAGATTTTTAGATTGTTTTTCTAAAATGGTTTAACATTTTGTTAGACTACAAAAATGATTTAGACAAGTCAAGCACACACCTAGCTTTGATCTTACAAATAGCCCACCAATCTTAATTCTCACGCCTCGAGCGAGGGCACTCGACATAATGCACTCGAGCCAACTATGATGCAAAGACAAAGGATTTGTAAATGTTCAACCTTCTCTTACAGTTAACATCCACTAGTCTTTATTATGAACGGATCCTTATTCCTTGTGGTGTAGGATCAAACCAATCGTATTTGAATAAGATTGATCTCTCGTATTACTAATGTAGGATATTCTACTTCAAGAATTTATATCAATATCTTGTACTAGCCACTCTCAACTATACTATAATTGGTTCCTTTAATATACACACCACTATTGAAAGTCTCTATTTCCAAAGCTCCCTCAAATGTGCAAAACCTATGCCCGTTAACAAAATAACCCATGTACGACCCGACAATAAGAAATAAGCCTTAGGCAAGATCTTTTAAGAACTAGTCCGTCATGAAAATTGCTTATGCATTTTCTATCTATAAATTCGACTTCAAATCCCTTGAAAGGTCGAGTTTACCTTTTAATTAGTGCCACCCACTAATAAAATATAAGTAAAATGATGATACTGATATATTGACTAAACCGAGAGGTAAAATCAATTTCAATTAGAGCATTGGCCTCATTTTCGAGCATGAAGGGATTGTTCAATCATATTTCAATAAGGAATCCATTAACAAGAATTGATAACAAAAAAGAGTCCGTGTCTATTATGATATGCAATTAAAGATGCATGATTTAGAAATTGAATTTTGACAAACTCCCTCTATGTAAGGTTTTACTTCTTTATAGTTCAATAATATCTATTGATAGGTTGCTTTGTGTTTGACCTTTGTCAATTTTCATCTTGTGTGTTGATCAATTGGTCAAACTTTTTGGTTGAATACGGATAGAATCCCTTTAATGTGGTTGCTCTCTTCTCCATCATACTCAATGTTATGTAGCATTTTCCAATGCTTAGTATGCACATGAGGCTCAATATAGTGCGAACAAAACAAATAGGCTTCTTTAACTAAATATGTATTGCATAATGATCCTTCCCTTTTAGTCTTATTCTAGATATTATTTTTTATCTTTTGAAGGTACTTATAATATAAATTATTTTAATGTTCAATAGTTGGAAGCTTATTTAATTTTATATTAAAATTCAATTTCAATACTTTTTAAATGGATATATCCACCGATATTGGATAGTTCCCATAATAGATGCCTTATATAACGAGTTGGATTGGAAGATG